ACACGAGGGGACTGTTTGGGGAGGGGGGGAGGGAGAGATTTTGGGCATGGGGTTGGGCGGGGGGGGCGAGGGAAGGCGCGGGAAATGGAGAACGATTGGGATAAAGTTAGGGAGAGGGGAGTCATCGGAGAGGGATGTGCGCGGTTATGGAGGGTGGACCGAATCATGCCCCCGGTGGTGGTGGGGGGTTGGGGTTTGGGTGGGGTTGGGGTGGCGTTGGGGGGGGGGGGACGTGCCCTTTCTTTTTTTTTCTCTCGCGTGCCAATGATGGGCCGCTGCGAGCTGTTAGCCATGCATTTCGGCAAATTTTCTTGGTCTTAGGCCTACGTCAACGCTTGTAATCGTGCCGCCATAATCATAATTTACCACTTAATTTCCGACCTGCCCATTCCTACGTAATTTAAAATTGTAATTTACCTTGCGAAGGGAGTCCCATTAAATGAAAGAGCCCGTGGGCAGCAATTTTATGCGGATTTAATGGTTAATTATGATAAAGCAAATTATTAATAGCTTGCAAGTCGAGAATCGCAAGCTGAGAATAAGAGTTTCAATACAAGAATGAGTAGTTCCTTTTTAAAGTTACGGTCCGACAACTTACATTTTCAATCGAATTATCCACGCATCTAATTATATATTTACGTTCAAGTATGATCCCATTTGTACGCGGGAATGCACTGTCTTACGATAATTGGAGCACGTCTACTTGCACCTATGTACGCTGCCACATTGTCATTTAATGAAGTTTCGTCGGTTTTGATTTCAACGATAAGAAGTTGAATATCTATATTAAGTGATTTTTGAAAATAATTTGCTAGTTAATATCGATTGATCAGATTTTTTGGATACTTAATGTGCTACGTACTTATACTGCGCAAATCCATTCTGCTTTAATCTTAATCATCTCTGCTTTAGTCTTTACCGATTAGATTCGTTATTTCGTCGTATCGACAATATTACAAGAAAAAAATATTTTGTAAAAAACCAAAAAAAAAAAAAAAATCTCTTAATCTAGTATGAATGAAAAAAATCTTTAACGACTCCAACGATTAAATATTTTTTCGATACAAAGCCATTCTCTAATGTCTTATCATTTCTTATATTTAATTTACGTTAGCAAATGAAATAATTGAACAATATAATAGATATATTATATCATAAGAATATTTACATTATTATATTGTTATATTGTAACTTTTATTTTCATACTTAATGTGTATTCCTTATAATTCATCGTTCATGCATTGTACATATATAGTTATAATAATAATAAGTGTTTGATGTTAAATTGACGGCTTAAAGTGATTACGTGAAAAATAATTTGCCATTTATGCCTATAATATGAATGTTTCTATAAAATTCATTAAATACAGTTATATTTCAATTAAATGCTAAAACATTCTCTTGTACGTAATAATGTCACAGATTCCAACATTTAAATATTTAACAAAAATTATCTTTAATCGCATACTTAAAATAAACGTCTCGCTTAAATTTCTAATTAAATATCACAATATTCAAATGTATTCGCATAAATATTATTTTCAATTAAATCATGATTGTTTACGTATGTTTCGAAGCATTTTTTCTTTTATTTTCCCATGCTTTTTAATAAACAGTTGGAATAATATAAGCACTTTTAATTTTTAATCCAGTTTCAATTTAATCTTCATAATGCAATAACAATAGATAACAATGGGGCACTATTGTTGTTTGTTAGTTTATAACTTTGTGTTCGAAAATACATTATCTCATTATCAAAAGAACGTTGATCTGTCTTATTTTAAGAATGAAAATTCACGTTTCCATACTTTGACATTCTATTGTAAAGTCTAATTCGATTTTACGTGTCCCTACTTTACTCGTGTACTTTTCCTTTCCAAATTAATTATTAAAGAATACTACATTCTTACCCTTATGTTTTGCAATTTAATGATATTCTCCGATAATCATAATATGAACGATCGAAGTGCTTGGATAATATTCCATTAGCAATAGCTTTTTTATCTTTAACATCTTTTTACAATTAATTTTACATCTTATATATTTTTCATTTTTTTATATTTCGAAAAATTTTTAAACTCTTCATTCATCAAATTCTTTAGCAATTGTTTGACTTTTTCGTTTCCTACGAATTCAACCTCTTATTTTCAACATAAACTAAAATATAATAATAAGAAACAGTATTTTAATTGCTTCTAAACGAAATAAAAATATCGTTTTTCAAGTTATATATTTTAATTATAAAGATAAGAAATAATTTAATTATATTAACAAATATTTTTTTCAAAAAAAATTCAAAATTAATTTTGAAAAACATTATTGTTTCATTTATTTTTAATCTGTTGCTGATATATTCACAAAAAAAAAGTATATATTTTTAATTTCTACTTCCATTATAAATTTACAGTTACTATATTCTAATTTTGAAGATGTCAAACAATTTGAATAAATGAATTTAAATTCGTATATTTTATAATAAGAAATGAATTTATAGGCATACAAATATTTTCTTTTTTACTCATCGTTAGAATAAGAACCGAGCCAATATTATTCTTAGAATTAAATCTCATATATTTGTATTTTTACAAAATCTTGAATTCTACATAAATAACTTATATTATAACTTATATATGCGGGTTTATCTATATTTTTATCTAAATAACATATTTAACTATGAAAATGATACGATCTAACAATTTATTATATTTGCTTATAATGTGATAATGAAATGCATAAAAAGACAATCTACGTCCAAAAATCTTGGATATGATTTTAAAGTAACTGAGATATAATTAACTACTTATCGTAACTTTCTTTTGAAATATGAAATCACAACTGATTTATCTCATTCTTTAAGCATAAAATTTTATTTTCTAAGTAATTGATTTTATACTTATATAAGCTGTGTGCAAGATCTTATTCTACTCTGAACATGTTTTATAATTTTTATTTTCATTTAGGTTTATTGAGTCAAATATTTATTAGGACTTTTCTGACGTTGCGATATATTTCAAAATAAATCATTTGTACATATATATATATATATATATATATATATATATATATATATATTATTTACAGTAATATTTTGTAATATTGACTATTTCTTATCCTGTTTGATATCCAACACTTAATCATCTATATAATAATTACTTATTAATATATATATATATATATATATATTAGATTTAATTATAATGGTAATTTTTTTACTCGATTGCGCATAATTTATCTACTACGTTACTCTAACGATTATTGAATAATCAAACTATGATTATAGCTGTTATTAAAGAATGATAATAATCAAAAATTGCGTCTCTGAATGATCTAGTTATTATATACTCTATTTAAGGTTTCTGATCGATAAAAAATTTATTCCTACAATTATATATATATGCGCGCGCGCGTTTTATTTCTTGTAATTTGTAGATTATCTTCGAATATATTTCTGCATGAAATTATCCGTGCAATAATAAATTTTATTTAATGAATTAATAAATTATGAAATCAATAAAAGTTTAATTAACTTTTAGTAAATCAATGTTTTACTAAGTCTAACGAAATATTGTACTCTTATTTAATTTATCATTTATATTATATAATTTTCCTTCGACTATATGTGACCTAAGTAAAGAATTATTTCATTCAATATTTCCTACAAAGTAGCCAATGTCATAAATTGTCCTCATCTGTTTTCATGGAAATAAATCAATAATAATAAATTGATTTTTGATGTATTATTTTATTCTTATTTGAAGCACCATATCACATATTTTGATAGGCGTTTCAAGAGAAAGACGAATTCCTAATAATATAATAAATTGAATTCGCATGACATCTTGGTTTAAATAATACGTATATATGAAGTTTAGAATTTAGATTTAGTATGTAATAAATTTTGAAAGTCCCAATAGTTAATTTATATTTTAACACCACACAAAGATACAGAACATTTTTATTTTATACTTTTGTTGTAAAGTGAAACTTTATTATATTTAATATTGTTTCCAGGTTATAATAGATTAAATTTGCCATGCATAACCTCAAAATCTACTTTAAATGGAGTAAAAATTAACTGTAAATAGAGAGAAAATTTATTGTATACCGACATTTTATGCTTACTTAGCTAAAATTTTATTTCAGAAGAAAACAGTTCAAATTAAAAAAATATTTCGAACTATATTAATCTTTATAGTTATTTTTATTCCAGTAATTTTTATAGATAAGCTCATTGTAAAATAGAAATTTATAATTATTACAGAGTAGATAATTAATTATCTCATTATAAAACACATGTTTTTTCGTGTTTTTAAAATAATAACAGAATATTATTTAATTATACATTAAGACGTACAATAATAAATATTTGCATTAATATGTGTTACTTGACACTCTCGCTTGAGCATTACAATACACTAACCACAGGTGAAAACCATAAAACATAATTTCTATAAATTTATACTAGAAAATAAATATAATACGCTTAATATTCAATCTTAGTTTGATTATATTCCTTAAGTACAGAAAAAA